AAACATTTTTATTATATTGATTGCAAAAACCTGTATCAATTTTAAGATCCAATATATGTTATTCAATCAACTCTATTGAAAAGCTTTAGATAAATGCCGCATTAAATAAAGGTTGCGTAGAAGAATCATGCAAGCTGGGGTTTTATTTACGGAATCATTTTTCACTGAAAATTTGACATATCTTTTTTAAAACATATATGGTTTTTATTATTTAAGTGATGCGTTGAAGGTATGCTTAAAACGCATGCGTTATAACTTTAACAACATTCCATGAAAATTTTGGCAAAAATATGTTTAATCCGGAAGTGAGCCAATATTTCTTAGCTACAACTAAATGAAATCGAAAGCTGGCAGTTAGAACACTTTGAAAAAACACTTAGAAGATTGATGACATCTATATAGGAGTCAGATTCATTAATATTTCCTTACAACCACAGGCACAGGTTTTTTGGCAACAGACAAATTTTTATCTCTGGGAAGTTTAAGAATAATGTAATAATTTTGAAAACTTTTTCAGTTTTTCAGAATGCATTGAAGAAAAAATTTAACGTGAAAACTGTCAGAATATGTAAAAATTTGCCATACTTCTAGCTAAATGGGGACATCAGAAAGATTAGTAATTTTAACCATAACGCTTTGATTTTGGTCAAATTAACTTTAAAATATGGTTTGATAATATGTTCTAAAATTTGGTAAATATTTCAAAATTGTAATTTTTCCTTAATACCCAAGCATTTCATGAAAACCATGTTTTAGTTTTCAGTTTTGTATAGTTTACTAAATCTGTGACAATAAGAAATATAAATTTAAACAATAGAAGTTTCAGTAAACCGTTACTCCGAGGGGCAAAAATATTACCAAATGAATGGTTTAAATACCATATATTTTGGTTTCTTTTACAAGAATTATGGTTTTTATATGTCATGATACAGTACATTAATTTCAAAAAATGTTTTCTCCGTGTGGGTAAAGTTGGATATTTTTATAGATTTTTACCGTTTAATAAATTATTCGAAATTCCTCCAGTTACATACATTAGCATATAAAAACAAATTTATATTCATAAAAGAACTAGTTGAATGTGTATGTTAAAAGACTTTTTTAGCAAACTATGAATACTTTGCAAATATAACATCTATTTAAAATAAAAATTTTTGAAATATTAGCCTATGACATCGATTAAACATCGATTATAGGGACACTATATAATAGAGAGAACACAGTTATGTTTAAAAATAATTTAATGTCACGTTTCTTTAACAAATTTCCCTTTTTATAGATAGAAAACAACGAACGATTTCACCTTTCAATAAAATAAAGAATTCGGACCCATGTTCTACCTTAGTGGTCACTAACCGATGGCCGGCAAAACTATGGTCAGACACTGACGATGATCCACAGTTGATTTTCATGAACTTATTTTTTTATCACGAAAAAATCGACACTTAAGTGAAAATATAAAAAAAGTATAGTTTAAATATTTGGTGTTGAATTTATTAAAATTTTTTTTTCTAAATGAACGTTGCCAGACTGATTTTCTTCCATGTACTTGTGTTTGAGATCATGCCAGTTAATCAAAAACTTAGTCGTTACGTCTCTTTTGTACAGCCATGATATTGAAGTGACGTCTAGCCTCATAGATGATCACATTCTGTTCGATTATACAGGGTAACAAAAAATATAGGGATCATTTTTGAATGTTTCTATTTCCAAAATTTATTACATAAATTCAGCGATTTTTCTTAATATGTCGACCTCCGGCATAATAGATTTGTCTACAACGCTTCGGCCATAATTTAAAAGCCCGCAAAATGGTTTCCTGGGGGATTTTCTTCACCTCTTCTCTAATAGCTCTTTGAAGGCCTCTCAATGAAGAAATTCTTCGCTTATTCAGTTTGTTTTTCAGATGTCCCCATAGCAAACAGTCGCATGGTGCAGCATCAGGACTGTTTGGAATCCATTGTTCTGGTCTCAGGAATTGCACTTGCTGATGTGTTAGGAATTTTTGGGTGACCTTAGATGCATGCGATGGGGCAGAGTCCTGATGGAACACAGGATCACCATTAGGGTAAAATCTGCAGTAATCATCCTTAAGAAAGCGCTTAAATATCTTCTGTATATAGTACGCAGAATTTTTTTTGGTCCCAGGTTTCACAAACGGAGGTTTGGTCACACCATGGGCGGATATGCCCATCCAAACCATTACGCCTTTGGGATGAGGCGCCGTGGTTGATGGTGTCAAGTCTCGCCTGTTCCGACCACGGCTAAGATATTGAACTTTAGATTTAGCATTGGTATCAGATAGATAGATCCAAGCTTCATCAGTTGTAATTAACTTTCGCCATCTGTCCTTACGGAGAAGCTTGTAGAGGGGCCATGAACGTTGCCTCCTAATCTGCACCGATCTCTCATTTAAATGATGACATTTAGGTTTTATACAGCATTTTTTCTTTAACTTTTGTTTTAGTTGATAGCTTACAACTTCCTGACTCACGTTAAGAGCTTTAGCCATGTTTGCCTGCGTTGGTGGATCCGGTTTTGATATCATCTTATTAAGCTTCTGCAAATCTGATTTCTTCAATTTGCTTGGACGTCCACTTCTTTTCGGTTTTGCATTATTTTGCATCGATCCGAGTTTAGAATTCTTGATGCGACTGATATGGCTGAGTGAAATCGCAATACCCTTCCTTTTAAAATGGGTTTGTATAATCCTGTGGCTCCATCGAAGTTCTAAAAATGCTTGTACTTGACCAATTAGCTTTTTGTCAAATTTCTTCAAAGGCATTTTTGTGATTTCATGAAATAGTATTGCAATTGAAAGTCTAATAGCATAGCTTTAGATCAGTAAGCTATATATGTAAAAAGGTTTTAAAACTTTAGNTTTAAAACGCTCTTTTTTGACGCTCAAGTGAAAATATAAAAAAAAGTATAGTTTAAATATTTAGTGTTGAATTTGTTTAATTTTTTCTTCTAAATAAACGTTGCCAGACTTGCCATGTACTTGTGTTTGAGATCATGCCAGTTAATCAAAAACTTAGTCGTTACGTCTCTTTTGTACAGCCATGATACTGAAGTGACGTCTAGCCTCATAGATGATCACATTCTGTATGATTATAGATAACCAACAAATGAGACCATAAGTTTCATCAAAGAATGTAAGTTGTACATAATAAATGTATTTGTAGAGCATATTGTACTGAAATAATTAACATTAAAAAGAAATAATTTAAAGCTTAATAAAACTTGTCTAAAATAAAAGTATTATATGACAACCGTCGCTGAACTGCCGACCCAATTTTGGGTTTGCGACTGCTAATGTTCAACTTCGTAACCTTGTGATTTTGAACCGAAGCAAGAAGACAAGGGAACTCCTGGATCAAACATTGGGAGAAATTTACCTTCATGGAGGACAATTTAATGGAATTTACCCGCATTTGCTTTACTTTAAGAGAAAAACCTCGAAAACCTCCCATGGTAAGCCTGACAGCAAGGGGACTCTTATCCATGATTCGTTTACCACAGACGATATTTTACGTCAGCACTATGGTTGGTTCGAGCCTGGTGTGGATTTCGTATCGAACAGCCATCAATTGGATTCGAACCCGGTTCACCTCATTAGAAGGCGAACGCTCTATCCCCTGAACCATCACAGCTCAATAGTGTAAGTAGTCAATTTTAGAAGTGAAAATCTATTGAACAAAATACAGTGAGCATTGGTTACAACCTTAATAAGGTTCAAAATTTTAACATGTTGACAAGTTAATAATGCGTCCATGTGTCTTGATATCATATTATCAAGTTAAGAAATACAATTATGTAGTTGTACTTAGCACCATACTAGAGTTGCATCAAACTTGAATGATATTATGCTTCAGAAAGCTCTACAATTTATGACTGCGTATTCTGTTCTTATATCAATTTTGTTCTCCACTTTATATATGCTTTAAATCTCTTAAATAATTCCTTACTATGCATTTTATGAAAGCAGTAATGTTTTGTAAATCTCATTACGCTTCGATGTTGCAACAATGGCTAAGTTTGAATTGTAGTAAATTAAAATGAACGTTGCAAGGTAGTTTAAACAATATTATGTCGTTATAAGAGAATGTCATCATTATTAATTAACATTTTCTACTTTCAGCAAATAACTTTATACTCAATTAGAAGATACATTTTGCTGACATATAAATGAAGATTTTAGTAACTCTAACAGGAAAGCTTTGGGTTTAAGCAGGAAATTAAATCTCTTCCTAAACTAAATATAACTCACGGAAGTTTGAAATACTCAGCTTAAAACTCTACGGGGTGTCTATCTGATTCCTTCATTAAAACAAATCTGTTAAGTTTGAGAACTTAAAGGATACATTTTTGTTTTGATATTTGCTTATGTTTAATATTTTTTTTTAAAANTAAAAAGTTTCAGAGCTTTTTATTCACTTCACTTTTTTGAGATTTTATGAACTGAAAAATGGCAGTTTTCGTGAGAATGACCCATATATATATATGTCTCTTATTTTATCTACACTGTTCACTAAATTTTCATACTAAATAGTTATTCGTATACACCATAAAATCAGGATCAAATTACGGTAAAAAGTACAGATACCCTGAGTGGAGATATAAATCCGTAAAATATACTTTTACCGTAAAATTTTAAAACTTAATTTTCATAGTAATATTTATTCAATTAAAGTGATTCTGTGATTTTACAGTAAATACTACTAGAAAAATTAGGATGTATCACATTTTTTGTTCGGTAAAATGTCACGGTATAAAGTACTGGCACCCTGAGTGGTGGTTCTTTTTACCGTAATATGATTCGAAATTTTTTACTGTGGATGATTTTTAAAAACAAAACGTATAAAAACTAAATACCAATAAAAAAACTAATTTAAAAAAAATTTATTCTTAAACATTAAAACTATGCTGCTCATATAAATAAATGAGGGGTTGCAATGAATTACTAATATTTTCAGAGATATTTAAATAATTGTATTTTGCAACATTTCAAACATTATGTATGTTTCTTTTTTCTCTAAGAAGGAAGAAGTAATTTCATATTGCGATTGCAATTGTTCATTAAAAATTGGCTAAAATATTAAATTAAGTTACTTTAACTTTGTTAGAAATTTTTTTTAAAAAATGTGCTTAATAACATGATTTTAATCAAGTTGATCATCTAATTCGTTACTCATAATTTAAAAATGTCTTAGGTATAAAATAAAAAATAATAATTAAAACTCGTAATATTTTATTAGACAAATAATACATGACATAATTTTTTTTAAACTCTACATCAATATACAAACAATTTATAACAAACAAGAGAGACATTTATAAACACACATTAATAGGTGATAAACAATAATGTACAAGGGCAGATTTTTATTTCACAAATATTTTTTTTTACATTTGGATCCGTCTTTTAAGGAAAATACAATTAATCTAATATTCCTTTTTTGTACAAATATCAATATTATTCTAAACTTTAATTTAAGAATAAAACAAATTCTCTTTAAAATCTAAATAAGCTAATTTCCTTGTGATGATCTAAGCTATTGCAAAATCAAGATAGGTAGTAGTCATTTAATTGCATTTTTAAATATAATGCGTACTTTTATGAATATTTATAACAAAAGCTGTTTTAGTAAATCTTTATAATTTAAAAATCATTAATTTTAATTTTCCGAAATGAAAGTTTGAAAATGAAACTTTTTTCCAAACATTTCTTTTTACATAACTTAATTAATTGTTATTAATTTATTGACTTACTAAGAGTATGTTACTTTATTACTATCGAAACAATAAAAAAAATATTTTGAAATGTGTTTAGCATATTTAATCTATATGAGCCCCATTTTGTAAGATTAAATATGCTAAATTTAGTTTCAAAACAGTATATCACCAAATGATATTTTCTACTTTAAAAAATAATTATCAAAAAATTAAGACAAAACATGCGCAATAAGTAATCTTTACTTCTTCAATCTGAAATTTTAGTTAAACTTTTTTTTTTACAAATTATAAATCTATCACTAATCATTAAAATAAAATGCCAGAATTGCCTTGTTTCAAATCACTGGCTCTAAATTACAAATTTAAGTTGATAACTCATATACGTGATCTCGGATACACTCAACAAAAGAGACTTGATGGCACAATGGTTAAAGCATTGCACTATTAGTATGACTGTTTGAAATTCAATCCCCGGTGATGGCGACTTGAATTCACCATCAATTTGATATCGATGAGCATCAGCTTGCCTCCGAAGTAAAGGTGGCCAGTGTTTAATGCATAGCTATCATCAGGCAGTTGATCAGGAAATTGATGAGTTTTAAACTCCATGATTCCATTGGCCGACAACTGGCTGTGTCTAGATAGCTTTATTTACACTTAATAATATGAAGAAAATATAATACTTCGTGGTCGAAATTGCATTGAATTATGAAGTATCCTAATTTAGGTAAAGGTAAACGTATTGCTCATATAACTTATTTGTGATGAAACTATCATAAAATATCTTTAAAGATAGTCTTGTAACTCGCAGAAAACATCAACATAATTATAGGTCATTAGTCATTCTATACTGAGGATGCATTAGGAAGTTTCAATTAGTTAAATAAATATAAAAAATACACAGCAAATGAAATTATTATGCATCGAAATAAATGACGTTGGAGTATTGTTTCAAAATGCTAAAAAATATGTCATTTATTGCTTGCTCTACACTCTCATATCTAAGCACCGTTTTGCTTTTTTCACTCAATTAGCTATTTAATTTAAAAACATATACAGATCTTCAATATTATTGTCATTTGTATGCCGTCTTTCTACATTCGGTTCAATAAAAATATTTCTACTGCTAGATATTTACACACATCTTTGATTCAAGACAAAACATTTATTATTTTTGGCGCTTTTATATAATTTTCGTGTTAGTTTAAGAGAAAAGAAACACTTCTTTAATGACATAGTTAAGCTTACCATAGTTTGAGTGAAAATGACGCAGTCAGTATGTATTTCACTAACAATATCCAGGGAACATAAACTTGTAGAAATGCTTGGAATATATATTTATGATATGTAGCAGATCTTCCATCGTATCAGTTTCGTGTATATACTACCCCAACACATTATAGGTTTTATTGCACATTAATAACTTTATTGCCAGTTTAGTCACGTGCGATGTATGTAACGTAAAATTAATGCAAATATGAACTATCTTTATAACACTTTAATAAGTACTTCACGTGACAATATCTCACTAATTTGAATGGTATCACTAATCATAACAAGTAAGTACTTAGTTTTATTGATGAAAGATGATATCATATATTTTCAGTGTCTTTGAGTCGTATAGTAAGCACCACAGAGAATTCGATCAAAAGCATTTCTAAAATCAGGACTGAAAATTGTATAAATGATGGGATTTATCAATGAATTAGTATATCCCATCCACAGAAGCAAGCTAAAAACTAAATCGTTGGGAATCGCCCATTCCCAAATTGCCATCAATAGAGCCATTACAAAAAATGGCAGCCAACAAATTATGAAAGCACCAGTAATAATCATCAATGTCTTAGCAGCTTTTCTTTCTCTTTTTGCCTCTGTTGATTCTTTCACAATTTTTTTCTCTCGCTTAGCCAAATGTATCAAGCGGCCTAAACCAGCTTGACTGGAACTGACGCCATTTTCTGATACCTGAAGATGTGTATGATCTCTGCCTGGATCTGGTGGCTCATTTTCGTTTAGTTGAGGAGACGTGGAACATTGAGCAGTGCTGTTACTCTTCTCTATCAAAACAGCTGATGCACCCGGTTTGCTTCGTATTCTTTTCCTGGCTTGTTTGAAAATATTCCAGTAGAGAAGACAAATGAAAACGAGAGGTATATAAAAGCTCAAACAGGTTGCAAAAACTTGATAATACATGTTTTGACTCACCATGCAGCGTCCTTCTGCAAGCCTTTGATAAAATTCTGGATCTTTCCAGCCAAATACTGGTGCAAAAGAGATCACAGAAGAGCCAGTCCAAACACCAGCTATAAGTAGATAGATTTTTCGACGGTCACGATTTCTAGCATATTCTATGTTTGTGACCGCCCAGTATCTATCCACAGCAATGGCAAGTAAATGTAATATTGAAGAAGTACAGCAAAGAACATCCAATGAAGTCCATAATCTGCAGATTTCTGGTCCAAGAATCCAAACTTGTTGGTAGACTTCATTCAGAGCGCTGAATGGTAGAACTAAGATTGCTACCATCAGATCTGCAACTGCAAGTGACAGAATAAGATAATTAGCCAGTCCTTTCAAATTTTTTTCTGTTGATATGGCATAAATTACGAAGACATTTCCGAGAATGGTTAGCAGTATGAATATGCCGAGTGAAATTGCAATAGCGATTGCTCCTACGCCATTAGAAAATGTCGGATATAGAGCGTCAGTGACATTGTATTGCTGTCCCTGTATTTCAAGACTGTTCTCTGTCGATATTAAGTTGTAAGAATGGTCGTTTGAATGCACTGTAATAGTGGAAATTTCAGTCATGAGTGCCATGATTTTGAACAGAATCCAAAACTAGATTTATGTTAATATTCTCATGGGTAGTTTCTTGAAAACAGGTCTGAAAAAAATAAGAACATTTCTTATTAATGAATTTATGATGGAAATATTTTTTAATTTCAGTCAATTATAATTTAAGTTTCATAAGCATAAAGCCATGAATTAATTTATAAGGAATAGTTATAAGAGACCGTTTATAAACAATGTCGCACTTTTTATCAATATTATTGACTCTCTCCTTTTTTGTCACAAAAGGTCATATTTTGATATAACCTTTACCTATTTGCCAAGTCATATTACATAAATCTACACTTACGTTTAGAAAAAAAAGCACCGTGTCAAAGATAATATTTCAAATTTTATTTTGAGATTTATATATAAGTTTTAATGGCATTTATGAACATGCTGCATTAAAATATTTGAATAAATTGTCATAATTTGATTTTAGCTCTAACTAGTAAATAGACTAATAATTAACTTACCGTTGAAAATGTAAACTAGATGATATGTCAAACATACCTTTTTTTCTTTTATTCCTTTAATGCAATTTTTTTTAGGTTAAAAAGTTTTGTCATTGCAAAGTATTTACATTTAACGGACAAAAGAGCAAAATGTTAAAAAAAAGCTTCTAGTTTTCCCTTATTTTTAAAATTTTTACTTTTAAACTCATACATACTAACTTATTTAAGTTCCTCGAAATTTGTGAAAATTAAAATAGCATATCAGCAAAAGGTGGAGCTGTTCGGGAATATTTTTATATCTTGTATTTCAAAAATGAATAATGTATGATGTTGATTAAATAAATATCGATTTTTACCAACAAAATATTAAATAATTGGATATTTAATTAGCGTCGAATTTCAGGCAATGAATAATGGATAATACTGTTATTTTAAAACGGCGATGCCATGTTGTATGAAAAAAAGTTCGAAGTTTATGCATGATTTTGAATGCAAAACAAACATTTAAAACTAAATACCAAAATTTTGAATGAGAGCATATCATTTTATAGACATAAAAAAAGGAATAACTTTTAAATTTATTTTTAATAATGTCATTAGACACGGAAACAATATTGCAATGCATTAATACTAAGACAATGCATTATTAATAATTCAGTGCATAATGTAAATTATAAAGTAATATTGTATTACTTTGTATTATTATTCTATTATTTTTACTTTGTATTATGTATTATTCTTGCACTGTGCAAAAAATATTTTGGTGAATTATCACACTGTGCGGNAAAAGGAATAACTTTCAAATTTATTTTAATAATGTCATTAGACACGGAAACAATATTGCAATGCATTAATACTAAGACAATGCATTATTAATTATTCAGTGCATAATGTAAATTATAAAGTAATACTGTATTAAACTGCAAGGTGAAAAAAATATTTTGGTGAATTATCACACTGTATGGTAATGACATTTCTGATATTAAAAAACATAATTATCATTAATAAAATCAAAACATACTGCATTTAAAACATTCATTTAATAATTTTTCTGCTTATGTGGTAACGGTTTACCGGAAATTATGATGTTCAAAATAATAGATCTTATAACCACACATTTAGAAAAAAAATTCAAAAGTAAATTTAACAGAATAAATAGTTTTGCTTTACTCTATGGTATCATAAAAAAATCATCAAATTTTACCACATTTGCTAAATTTTATCTCAATAAAACCATATTTTATTGTTAATTTTACCAAAATCATTATCTAAGCGCATCGGTAGAAGTTTTTTAGTGTTCGGAAAGAGCCAGAAACACGGTAAAGTTTTTTTCATAGTCTGATAGAGTTGACATACTTTTTTTTATCAGTGTGGTATTGTATGAAGTTGAGTTATAGTAGAAGTTGAGTTAAAGCGTTCTATTAAAATGTTTTTCTAAATTTATTGCTTGTTAAAACATTTTTTAACGTTGAGTATTAACGTTCCATAAAAATATATTTCAAAATTTGAAATGTATAATTATCAAAATTTTTAAATGCAAACGGGACGAAATAAAGATTATAAACAAAGAAATATGGACAATGGTGAAGCATTCACCTACTAAACAATATTCAGAGATTTAATATCATGGCTTTTTCACATTAGGAAAGTTTTTGAGCATCGGCTTATACCGTTCTCTTTCTTATACATATATTTACATAATAGAAACTGGTTTGTCACACCTAAAAGGCCGGAAAATCATTTCTGCTTTACAAGATTGCGATACGGTTCAAGTTTAATTCCATAAATATAGTTAAATCTTTTATTATCAAGATTAAGAAATTACTTCATGCTAATTGAGTACTGCAAAAAATATATTTGTGTTAAAAAACGTCCGCTCTAAATAATTTCAATTTTTCTTCAATATTGTAATATGTACATTAAACACAGAGTGGAGGGTTATATGGTTATTAACAGCGTTCGTTCCTGTTAACATTCTAAACTTAATAGATTTCAGAATATACTTGAACATAATCAATACTATCAAAAATAATATCGATTAAGATGCTATAATTAATATCGTAATTTTATTTTCGGGAAATCAGAAAAATAAAAATTCTAACTTGTAATTATATATTGTTAGAACCACTATTTTCTAAAAGATATGTTAAATTAGTAGCTGTATAACAACACTTGAAAATATAAAAGCTTCATTTGCTTAAAGAAATATAAAGATGGGAAGAGAAATATACGATTGACATGTGTGTCATCAAGAATTTGAGGTATCATCTATTGCCGCCCAATGCCTATATTCTAGTTAACAATATGAGTCCTTTACCAAAACTTTATAGCACTTAGAAATGCACTCATGTCCTGGTTTACGAGTCACATACCGTGGTTTTTCTAGTTTTGCGGCAAAACTTTTGCCTGTTATATTTATTTTCATTTCTCTGTTCGTAACTTTGCGTTTTTTTTTTTAAAATCTGTTTTATTTCCCCCATCCTCATATGATTTATCTTGAAAATGGGCGTCTATTATTGTGCACTCGAATCATGTCGACTTTTCTATATTTTTAATCTTTGAAACAAATGAAGCTCGGAAATTATCGAATATATCTTCCCATTTCAGTTTCTTAGGAATATTCACTTTATATCACTCGCTCAAAATAATATTGCTAACACATTATTTAAAAACGTGCAGAAAAAATAATTGCAAATTTAAATTCTTTCAAACATTCACTATGGAAGTTGAATGTTGAATTATATATCTATCTATCTATCTATCTAATATATCTATCTATCTATCTATCTATCTATCTATATATATATATATATATATCTATATCTATCTATCTATCT